CATATCCTCTCACTCAACCTCTTTCACCTTACCAAACCCCCCTCAACCCGTTCCWTCACCCGACCGCTCTCTCCTTTCCATTGCCTACCTTACTCCCTATCATTATCTTTCTTTTTCTCTCCCCTGTGTCACCCACAACCTCTCTCCATAATACATTACCCGCTCATTTTATCCTGCCTCTCTTACCCCTCTCTACCACCTCTTTATGTTACCACTCTTAATCTAACCAATAGGTCATCGTACCTGTTAATCGGAGAAAATATTTAAATATCATTGAGGAAATTTCTAAAAAAAATTTTAAAATAGACTTAATTGATAACTAGAAAAGTGTTATACCAGTAATTTATTACAATACAATTGATTGAAAAATCGTGGAAAATATGTCCTCTGATCAATTACAATATTAAAAATAAATCTACAGAAAATAGAAAATTGCTTACCCCATTTCTGAATCAATATTTGCTATACAACTTCGTCTTTGATTTTTTTGAAACACTGCATCGTTTTATATTGCTGAATATGATATTTTATTTCCAGTTGTCAAATTTTCTCTGACGAATGCCATATCTGAAATTAAACGCAATTAGTAAAATGCAAATGTTTAACAATATTTTATATATTTTTAGCCATTACAGATAGTCTATAGCTAAAATAACCCGTATGCATATGACTATATATAATTTTAACCAATTAGAAACATAACAGAAAYAGTTTAATGTTGTATATATTTTTATAACATTCAATTGTGTATGTAATGTTTCAGAAATATTAAAAATGTTTGAAAACGAATATGAAATATTGTTATATTACTTTCCGTTTCAGAAATATAACTGTGACTTATGATGTTGTTAGGGTGTATATGTCCCTCCCCTGAATTTTTTTTTTAGTTATGACCTTGTAAGCGCCAATCTAATATTGTATACCTATTTTACCCAACATAATATGACAAAAGCGCCAAAGGTGCAAAAATAACATATCATTGAGCCAAAATTAACAGTTATTTTATATAAATAGTTAGATATTTAAAAATTACTGTTCTAAAAAATTATATTATATAATATAATTTATTAAAAAAATGTTCAATTATAATATACATGCAAATCAATATAAATTTAATAAATCGGTTTGTTCTAAAATTAATATTTGTAATTTAATACCCATTAACCGTGGCACACAAGGTGACGGGTACCTAAGATTATGGCGCTCACCTATGTCTTTCACCGATAAAAAATACATTTTCGTTGTTGTATGGAYGTATGGTATAAAAGGTTTTTCTATAGTAACATTAAATAATTTTCTCATATAGTCCATAGACATATAAAACATGATATAGTATATGATATAGTCATATTTAGATTATTATCCTCGATCAATGATAAGGATTTTTAGATCACAACTGATACCAGCATAGATAATAAAGATATCTTTATTATCTATGGATACCAGTAATCAAGCAATGATGTAATGATTCGGGTGCAATAATAATAATAATAATAATAATGTCAACATGATAATTTATCACAGTCCTCAAAAAGTCATAAATAACACTGAACAGTAAACAAATAATAATAATTAAAAAAAACATACTTTCCTATAAAACCATATTTAAAAAAATATAAATATATATATTAAATTTAACTAAAAAATATTTTAAAAATTGCACTAAAAAGACAAAAATAATTTTCGGTTCTTAAAA